AGTAGGTGAAGCCAGATTATGGAAGACGAGCTGTAGCTAAGGACTCTGAAGGTCGTGGTGAAGCCGGGATTGGAATCTGGCCAGTAGGGTTACAAAGTCCATGATTTTATTTTATTATTGTGATTATTTTTTATTTATTTGTTTTTGAGACAGAGCCTTGCTCTGTCACCAGGCCAGAGTGCAGAGGCACAATCTCGGCTCACGGCAACCTCCACCTCCCGGGTTCAAGCGATTGTCCTGCCTCAGCCTCCCCAGTAGCTGTGACTATAGGCATGCACCACCGTGCCCAGCTAATTTTTATATTTTCAGTAGAGATGGGGTTTCACCATGTTGGCCAGGATGGTCTTGATCTCTTGACCTCATGATCCAGCCGCCTTGGCCTCCCAAAGTGCTGGGATTACAGGCATGAGCCACCGCGCCCGGCCCAAGTCCATGATTGTATGCCTTTGACCATGGTCTTCAGCCAACTTGTGGTCCAGGAAAACATCTCTTTGTTCTGCACAAACCTGTCTTTTTTCTTCTCTCTGGAGATCTCCTTCCCTCGGAATGTGTGCCCTTGATTTGTGCATGTTGACATCCTTCCTTTCTACCAAGACCCTTTAGGCCTAGAGGGTCTTGCTGGTTACCCTCCTCGGAGTTCTCATGACATGTTGTATAGGAGAACTCGAGAGCAGGGACCTCTCTAGACATCATTGCATCCCTCCTGTGCTCTCCAGCACCTCCCATTTATTTTGTACTCATTAAGTATGTATGGGTATAAGACCAATGAATCGTTATCTTGTAACACAGGGCTCACCCTCTGCCCTTGGCTTGCAGGGTCTTGGTGGGGGTAGACAGTATATGAACCCACTTCTATTACCTGGCCACTGCCCCAGGTAAGATGCACCGGTCCCTATATCTGAGGGCTGTCAGCTCCCTCCTCTGCACCATCTCATGACTTAGACCACCCCCAGGAGAGAGCAGCCTGGGCTAAATGCAGGAAGCTTCAGGCCTCCACTGATGAGAGCAAGACTCTGTGTGTGTGAAGGCTGGGAGAGCGTGTTAGAAGACATGCACACACATATAAAGACACAGGCTCTTAAAATTTGAACACATTCACTTTGAAACATGGACTTGGCCATCGCTGAGATCTCTGTGGGTCAGGGCTAGAACTCCTAGTTTGGAAAGAAAAGGCCAGAGGCAAGCTGATGTGTTGGCGTGTTCGGAGATGCTTCCTGTTAATCTGAATTCTGCTTCTCTTAGAACACTTTTTTCCTGGCATTTGGTCATGACACCTTCTTTTTGCTCCACTTAAACTCCCCGTTCTCCACTTCCTCCATCCCTGGGGGCGGTGTTCAGTGGTTACACAGAAAGGAAGGGTCTTTGATGAAGCGTCTCTGTACAGTGGCTCTGAAGGGCTCAAGGAATCCTTGTCTCCCTTTCATGACATGGACTCAGCCTCCAGAGGCCTTCGGTCACTTCCAAGCCCTTGCATAGCCTGCTGCCTGGACGGTGAGATACCATTGGTAGAAATGGACATTCTAAATCCAGGCATTTAAACTGTAATCCTGCTAAATAATTTGTTTCCTGTTTTATATTGTTTGCTTAGAAGAGGGGGTGGAAAAATGCAGAACTGTTTTCCAGTGCATTTCCTTCCTTCCACCCCCAAACCTACTAAAGATACAGCATGCTTCTTTGCACGCTGATGGTAGGGTTATTCCTAAGTGTTAATTTTTTATGTACCTAATTACTTTCCCAGTAGGAATGGCATCTAATACTTTCTAGCACTACAGTGCTAGCAAATGCTGGGCCCAGAGAAGATGCGTACTGAATTTGTTGATTGCCTGCTGATTTTGTACCATGATTCTGAGCTCTACAGGAATATGGCCAGATGTTGTCTACATGGGGAGACAACCACCTCCATTTTCCCTTCCCTTTTCCACTTTTTTAATGTGCTGAAATCCAGCTTCATCCTTAAAACTAAAACTAGCATTGATTTTTTTAAACTTATTTATTTACTTATTATTTTTTTAAGACAAGGTTTTGCTCTGTCGTTTAGGCTGGAGTACAGTGGTGGGATCATAGCTCACTGCAGCCTCAACCTCTTGGATTCAAGAGATCCTCCCACGTCAGCCTCCTGAGTAGCTAGGACAACATGCACACTACCATGCCTGGCTAATGTTTACTTTTTGTAGATATGGGGTTTTACTATGTTGCCCCAGGCTGGTCGTGAACTCCTGAGCTCAAACGATCCTCCTACCTCAGCCTCCCAAAGTGTTGGGATTATAGGCATGAATCACCGCACCTGACCCTTTTTTTTTGGGCTATGCTAACTGTTCCCAATGCTGCATGTGTACTATTTGTCATGGCTATAGTAATATTCATGATTACTACTACTCATCTGTAATTAAGATATAACTGGGATAATACAATGAACCAGGCATTGCATGAAGGGCTTTGTATGTATTTTCTTATCTAATGAGTGGCATTCAGAACATACTTAATTGACTTAAGGAAGACTTGCTCACAAGTGGTTCACAAGCTGTGGGTTTCAGGGAAGCCATTTCTGCTGTCTCAGACTCAGTTTCCCCCTCTGCAAAATAGGGAGCTGGATGCCTGCCTCTCCAGGTTCTTTCCTTTTTCATCACTGGTTTAACTCAATTCACTTGTGTTTAGGGAGTCCTTGCTGTGTACTCTGCACAGATTTGTTGCTTAGAGAACATAAAACAAATACAGTTCAGTCCCTGTGTCAAAGCTTGTACCATCTAGTGTAATGACAGGAAGCCAGGGGTATCCGAGGGGTAAAGAACAGGGAAGTCAATTATATCAGGCGAAAGTGGGGAGATTCCTGAGAGTCGATTCTAATTAGAAGCTTCCTGAAGGAGGAGAGATTTCCGTTCAGGGTAAAGGAGGCAGTTGATGGCGTGGGAGTACAGAAGCACCTCTTGACAGAACTGGTGGACAAAACAAGCTATTCAGCAGTGAACCAGAACAGGGCTGCGTTCAGGACCAACTCACCTGACATTTTGCCCTATGCTAAATGTAAACTGGTCACCGTATCGATACTGCTGCAAGATAAACTGGAGAATTTCAACTACATCATAAAAGTATGTGGATCTCAGAAGAGTGAAGCATTTGGATATTTGAGATGAGTCCCCAGATTAAAACTGCTTATTTTGGCGCCCCCATATGTTGAGTCTCTCGGCCTCAGGGGAACCTCCAGTGTGGGGATGATAAATCTGATACATCTGGATTTCTGCCACAATATAATAGAATTAATTACCATTGAAATTGGCTAATGCTTGTGTTTAATAATAAATATATGTGCCCCTCTTCGTTTCAAAAAGAAACTGAAGGGGTTTGCAAATATATTTGCCATGCAATAAGATACAAAATACAGGAGATAAGGAAGAAAAATAAAAGAAGAAATAATAGAGTAAAGTCAGAGGAAAAGTCCAAATGCCCAAAGGCTTTAAATACTTTATTAGAAGTGGGCTGCATGCATACTTTGGGCTCAGGATCTTATCAGCCAATGCATTTTTTTCCTAAAAGAAAGTTTTTGGTTTTAACATGATAATGTAACGTGTCTAAGATTCCAAGAGTTAATGCGGAGACTTACCTTTATTGATGAAAGGGATTTTGGGTATTGGATAATGCTGTGTACTTTCATTCATGTTGACTGCTTAGAAACGAATTCATGAGACACAGACTGAAAGCAAAACACCAGCCCAAGGCTTTCTGGCTGAGCTTCTGAGGCTGCGTAGCTTTTGCACCAAGGATTTTACTTAAGGAAACCGCAGGTCTGAGGACACTTATGTTCTCCAAGAAGAGGAATTCTCTTTGACGTTTATTATTTCCTTTGAGGGAGGCTTTTCTCTCTGCTTCCCCCACACACCCATTTATCAGAAACATACTCTTTATTTTTTAGAGATAGGGTCTTGCTCTGTCACCCAGGCTGGAGTGCAATGGTATGATCATGACTTGCTGGCATCTCAAATTCTTGTGCTCAAGCCATCTTCCTGCCTTAGCATACCAAGTAGCTAGGACTACAGGAGTCAGCCATCATGCCAGGCTCATTGTTTAATTTTTGTAAAAATAGGGTCTTGCTATGTTGCCCAGGTTGGTTTCAAACTCCTGGTCTCAAGTTATCCTCCCATCTTGGCCTCTCAAAACACTGGGATTATAGCTGTGAACCACTGCCAAACACGTTGTTTTTTTCTTTTTCTTTTTTTTTTTTTTTTTAAGTGGTGACACATTGGTTTATTAAAATATGTAGCCCAACTGTCAATTGATGTGAATAAATAATGTTCATATTTTATTTTCTTAAAACAGAATATTGCAGTTTTTAGTGATAGATTTTGTTTTTTAGGGTGGTTTTAGGTTTCAGAGAAATGGAGAAAAAGATACAGGGTGCCCATTTACCTCCTCCTCTCCTGCACACAGTTTTCCCATTATTAATTTCTTACATTAATGTGGTACATTTTTGACAACTGATGTACCAATATTGATACGTTATCATTAGCTAGTCCATAGTTTAAGTTAGGGTTCACATCTTGTATTGCTCATTCTTTGAGTTTTGACAAGTGTATAATATTGCATTTTCACGATTAACATTTCTGAGTATTTTATCACTGCATAAAATCTGAAAAAAAGTAGTCAAATCCAGAAATATGGTTATGAATAAAATTTTTTGAATTGTTGCAAAAAATATTTACCTCGTTGTATTATACTGGAAAGCCGAACAATCCATCATATTGCTCAAATTGTTATAGAACGAACTTTAAAATGGAAAAATGTCATTTTTTTCCTGATTTCTTTTTTTTTTCAGTTTTTTTTTCATTATTATTTTTTATTATTATACTTTAAATTCTAGGGGTGTTTGACAAGCCAGACACATTCTTTGTGACATTGGAGAAAGACTGGGGCAAGTCTGCCCAGAGAACCACGGAGCCAAGTGTGACAGCTGGAGGGCCTCAGCCCAGGTCTGACCTCCTTTGAGTTCATGTCTCTTTTATTCCTAGTGTCAAGCAGAATGAGCGCTACGGCCAGTTGACTCTGGTCAACTCTACCTCGGCGGACACGGGTGAATTCAGCTGCTGGGGGCAGCTCTGCAGCGGCTACATCTGCAGGAAGGATGAGACCAAAACAGGCTCCACCTACATCTTTTTCACAGGTAAAATACTTGGTGCATTCATGGAACTCTTCAAACTTCTGGACTTGGCTGAGAGCTGAAGGTTTCCCTACCATGCTGAATAGCAAATAATGACATCAGAGCACTTCTTGTTTGCCAGGCTCTGGGCTAAATGCTTTACATCAGTTATTTCACATAAGTCTTACCATAACCCTTCAGGGCATATACTAATATTATTTCCTTTTTTTTTTTTTTTTTTTTCAGATGGGAAAGTTGAGGTTAAATAAGTCCTTAAGGTCACACAGCAAGTAAGTGGTGGTAACAAGATTTCAACACAAACCGTTTGGTTCCAGGGTCTGTCCCTGCACTCGCCAATACAGTGACCACTAGACACGTGTGGCTACTTAAATTTAAATGAAAATTAATCAAAATGAAATAAAATTCAAAACAGTTTCTCAGTGCACTTGCCAGGTTTCAAGTGCTCAACTGTGGCACATAGCTAATGGCTATTGTACTAGACAGCACAGAGAGAGAACATTCCCTTTATCACAGAAAGTTCTATTGGACAGTGCTGCTGTTGACTTTCATCACTGTGTTCTCAGAACCTATGATCATCTCCTCTCTGGAAACTCCCTAGGATGCTTTGCTAAAGACCTCCTCCCATTTGTCATTTTTATTATTTTATTTTTTGATTTTTCCGTAGAAATGAGGTCTCACTGTGTTGCCCAGGCTGGTCTCAAACTCCTGAGCTCAAGCTATCCTCCTGCTTTGGTCTCCCAAAGTGCTGTAGTTACAGGCATGAACCACAGTGCTCAGCCCCATTTGTTCTTGGGAGTACTATGAGCTGGGATTTCAGAGGCAAGATTCCCAAAGATTGTGGCTCTTGTGTCTCCAGTCCCTGTCCCTAAGCCTCAGTGGACTGCCTGAAAATGTTCAAGTCAGGGTGGAGAACTCTGCAGTGCAAAGTATGTTTCTGGAAGGTGGAGCTTGCATTTTGAGAAACAGGTGTGCAGAATAACTGCTCAGCCTCTTTCTTCTGTAATGTTCTCTAAGTTCTGAAGTTTAGGGGATGAAGTTCTCCAACAAGGTTCAGAGGTCAGTAACAGCTTTCAGGAATCTTACAAATCCACCCCAGTCCTATTGTTGTCCAAGACATTTCAGGTGAAACCAGAATCCTTTCTTAGTGCCTGGCCAGGGACTTTCATGAGATTTCTCTATGCCTTAAATCCATCTACCTTTCAGACCTAGACCTAAATAGGCCTAGACGTAGACTTAGACCTATGACCCAAATGATGTTATGACCTGACCAGTAAAGAATGTTTTAGTACAATTTTATGTATTTGTCCTTTCCTGCCCAAATAACTCCCCTCTGGCAAGAAGATGTATTAGTAGGGTACGCTGCAGTTCTGGAAGCACATGTATCTCATTTTGAAGGAGACTTTTTACTCCTTAGTTCAGCTAGATCCGAGTTCTTGTCTCATGCCAGGAAAACTTAGGCACACAGACACTTAAAAGAGTGAGTGGAGTAGAATTTAGTATGCGAAAGCTCTCAGCAAAAAGAGGGGTCCGGAAAGCAGGTTGCAGGTTGCCCTCTACACAGTTGAATACAAGGGCTTCTATGTTCCCCTGGTAGGACTGGGTTCCCTGTTTGTAAAAGGCGTGAATTCCTGGCGGCTCCACCCCTTCCTTTCAATGCACATGCAGGCCCTTAATCTGAGTCACTCCACGTTGATTTATTTCCCTTACTGCACGTGTGTTAAGGGATGGAATTTTTCACTAGGGGCATGTTTAGGCAAGACTCCTGAGCACAATGACCTTGGTAGGTCAGAGGTTCTCTAAGGACCCTTCCATATCTGCTTGGGAGAGTTCTCTGCCTCCTGCCTCTATCAATTTCATTTCCACAACATCCCTGGGAAATAAGCAAAAGCTGTTTTATTATCTCCAAAATACCAGAAGTACTAATGCTCATGCTGAGCCTCAGTGTTCCAAGACTTGTAGTGACACAATAAGGAGTGAAACCTGTTTTTCTGACCCAGGATCCAGTGTTTTTACTGCCTTGAACCTTTTCTAGGACAAGGTGAAGGATGGACTGATAGCCAGATTCTAGCTAGCATAACTGGTGTTGTCTGGTGTTGTCAGGAGAATTGCTAATAATTGTTCATAGGCACTCTCTTTGGATCTTCACTTTGGAACTCGCTACCCAAGACCATCTGTGTGTCCTTTGTATCATACCATGCTGTGAAGCAACAGTGGAAAAGGCAACTAATTAAGATGAATAAAAGTCTGTTATTCCAGACAACGACTGATTCCACATTTCAAGTTGCAGAAGGAAGATTCTTTGCCATAATTAGCACTGTTTTGTCTTCCCAAAGTATCAGTCGAGGTTTTGAACTGAAGGCTTAGCTTGGGCATAATGTTCTATTAATGTTATGGGGTCTTGGCCAGCCATGGTGGCTCACATCTGTAATCCCAACACTTTGGGAGGCCGAGGTGGGTGGATCACTTGAGGTCAGGAGTTTGAGACCAGCCTGATCAGCATGGAGAAATTCCACCTCTACAAAAATACAAAAATTAGCTGGGTGTGGTAGCGCACACCTGTAGTCCCAGCTACTCAGGAGGCTGAGGCAGGAGAATCACCTGAATCTGGGAGGCGGTGGTTGCAGTGAGCCAAGATTGTGCCACTGCACTTCCAACATGGATGACAGAGCAAGACTTTGTCTCAAAAAAAAAAAATAGGAAAAAAATGATGGGCTCACTTTGAGTTTTGGAGGCAGATCCTTTTTTTTTTTTTTTTTTTTAAATTTACTGAACTCCTTCTGGGAACCAAAGAAAGGCTAAAATATATTTATTCCATCTATCAAGAAACTTTGATCAAAAAGGGAGGTGACCTAATGAGTTTTTTTTTCTGATTTCTCATTTTTTTTTTTCTTATTTCTCAACCCTAAGGTAGGAGTCCACTTGGATTTTCACTGTAGGGTTTATCAATTTGTCTTTCCAAGCATGGGTGGGTTTGAAAAATCAAGATGGGCAGTTACAGAAGCTGAGGTTCCCACTGCTGGCTCAGGATTCTTTCAGAACATATGTTTCCTGGCTACGCATGTGGAGAAACGTCTGTCATTCATTATGTTTGTATGTTTCCTAGAGTTTGATTGAAGCTTCTTTTGGGGGACTGACTGTTGTTAGTGTGCAATCTGTGATAAACAATTGCCATATATATTTCCTCTTTCGTCTTTATCCAGGAGGCTCTTGGAAGGTTTTTCTCCCTTCTCTCTCACTTTTTATTGGAGTATAACATATGTAAAGAAAAACATTCAAATTCTCAGTATACAGCTCAATAAATTGTCGTCAACGAAACAGGCACATGTAACTCCCACCCAGGTCAAGGATGAGAACATTACCAGCGGCAGGGCTTTTTCATTGTGAAAGGCTGGGGCTCTCATTTTTATATGTAGGAAAACCACATTAATAAGTACTTTCCTGGCTGGGCACAGTCCCAGCACTTTGGGAAGCTGAGGGAGGTGGATCACTTGAGGTCAGGGGTTCGAGACCAGCCTGATCCACATGGCGAAACCCTATCTCGACTGAAAATACAAAAATTAGCTGGGTATGGTGGCACGCGCCTGTAGTTTCAGCTACTTAGGAGGCTGAGGCACAAGAATCGCTTATACCCAGGAGGCAGTGAGCCAAAGTTGCAGTGAGCCGAGATTGCACCACTACACTCCAGCCTGGGTGATGGAGTGAGCCTTTCTCAAAAAAAAAAGACTCTTCTAAATATTGAATTTGCTATAATTTGGATTTAGTGTATAGCTTGTTAACTTCACTTTTTTTTTTTTTTGTGAGACTCTGTCTCGGCTCACTGCAACCTCCGACTCTCCTGGTTTAAGCAATACTCCTGCCTCAGCCTCCCAAGTAACTGGGATTACAGGCACATGCCACCACGCCCACCTAATTTTTGTATTTTTAGTAAAGACGGAGTTTCACCATGTTGTCAGGAGGGTCTCAATCTCCTGACCTCATGATCCACCCACCTCGGCCTCCCAAAGTGCTGGGATTACAAGTGTGAGCCACCCCGCGTGGCCAATTTTTTTTTTTTTAATGTAAAGTCCCATGTGCTTAGTTTTCTTTAAGTAATGCATTTGTCATCTAGATTAGTGAACATAAATACATTTGCAGGGGACATGTAATCTATAATTATTAAAATTAACTTCAACATTTTTGGTTGTTGATGGAAACTACAAATTGCAAATATATTTTTTAAAGTAACTGGTGTGCTCACTTACTTCAAAGTATGTGTTATAGTATAAGAAGTAAGGCTGGGCACATTGGCTCACCCCTGTAATCTCAGCACTTTGGGAGGCCAAGGCAGGAGGATTGCTTGAGTCCAGCAATTTGAGACCAGCCTGGGCAACATAGTGAGACCCTGACTCTACAAAAACCAAACAATAAAAAATTAGGCTTGGTGGCACGTGCCTGTAGTCCCAGCTACTCAAGAGGCTGAGGTGGGAGGATCACTTCAGCCCTGGATGTTGAAACTGCAGTAAGTCATGATCGTGCCACTGCACTCCAGCCTGGGCAACAGAGTGAGACCCTGTCTCAAAAAAAAAAAAAAAAAAAAGGATATTTTTATGTTCTTAAATTCACATGGTTCACTTATTCAACTAATGACTTTGCTTATTGATTCAGATTATTCTACACACTCTTAAAACAAAAGTTGCCTCTAAATCTTGCAGTCATGCAATCCTAAAGTGTTACTGCTAAGAAAACATCTTTAATATTATCCACTCCAGATTCTTCTCTTGACAAATGTGGACACTGAAGCATGAGGAAATTAAGTAATGCCTCCAAGGCCATCTAGATGGACTGTGTGAACACATGAACGTTGGGCACAACTTTGACAGAGGTGCTCCTTACCTAAGCCTGAAAGCCAATTTCTCATAAAGTAGAACGGATCTCCCAGCCTGATGGAAACCCATGTAAAACACGGAGACTCTCTGAGCCATGATATGCTCTTCCCTCGTCTTAGAGCCAAGAGGAAGGATCTCCATGTTAGTGAACTTGGTACTTATAGCCCAAGAACTCTTGGCTCATGAACCATTCGGTAATGTGTCCAGGAATTCTGCCCCCAACCTAAAACACCATCTAACTCTGACACAAAGAAGGCAAGTTGCGGAGAAAGGCAAGAAAAATTATTTATTTCAGGAACATTGTGGGGAAAACACAAGAAAGGATGTAATACGTATTAGGGTATCACTAGCTCCAAATATTTCCCTTTGCAATTACTATAATATTCCCTCACAGAATGATCCAGAAAAACAAAGGATTTAATATACCATTCCAAAAAAGAAAAGCCACCAGCACCAACAAAAATTACCCCCAAAAGCCCAGTCCAGAGTTTCTTGCCTGTCCTAAGGACAGAGTCATTCCTCATTTCTCCCATTTCGGTAAGATAAAAATGCCATCATCTGAGCTTAAAGAACCAGGCAGAGTAATTTCAGAGGAAATGAGGGGATGTAAGAGACTGGCTGAAGATTCCCAGCCAGGTGCTGGCCAAGCCGAGAGCAGACCTGAGACTGATGGGTTCCTCCTTCAAGCCGACAACATTCCCCTCCACTAACTTTGGCAGGCACCAGGTCCTCTGGGCTGTGTGGGGAGCTCTGATGTGCTGGGAAATGCTTCCTGGCTGGCAGTTACTGACCATGGCTGTGGGGTTGATTTCTCCACACACAAGCAGCAGATGGCTTCAAGGTTTTACAATTGCTAAGGGTTTAAAACTTACACTCATAAAATCACATTAATAAGTGCTTTCCTAAATACTGAGTTTGCTGTAATTTGGATGTAGTTTACAGCTTATTAACTTGATTTTTTCTGGAAATCTAAAATCCAATGTGCTTAGTCTTCTTTAAGAAATATGTGTGTCATCTACATGAGTGGATATAAATACATTTGCAGGGGACATATGTAATCTATAATTATTAAAATGAACTTTAACACATTTTTTTCTTGATGGAAGCTACTGATTGCAATTTTTTTTTTTTTTTTTTGAGACACAATATTACTTTGTTGCCCAGGCTGGAGTACAGTAGCATGATCTCGGCTAACTGCCACCTCCTGGGTTCAGGCAATTCTCATGCCTCAGCCTCCCATGTAGCTGGGACTACAGGCGCATGCCACCACACTCAGCTATTTTTTTTTTTTTTTGTATTTCTAGTAGAGATGGGGTTTCACCACGTTGCCCAGGCTGGTCTCGAACTCCTGAGCTCAGGCGATCCACCCGCCTCAGCCTCCCAAAGTGCTAGGATTACAGGCATGAGCCACCACGCCTGGCCAGATTGCAAATATATTTTTAAAGCAAGTAGTGTCGTCACTTACTTCAAAGTATGTATTAAAGTATAAGAAGTAAGGCTGGGCCTGTTAAACCTTAACGTGTTAAAGGTTTGTTTATTAAATCTTAACTTAAATCTTGTTCCTTGCTGCTTCATGGCTGTGATCCGTGGGCCTCATTTGGGCTTGAACTGATACCTTTTCTGTTTTCTTTAAGGAGACGGGAAGGAAAATCATTCTTCTAAAAAATGAAAAGCATTAAAATAAAAAAAGAAACCCCAGCTTTTGCTACTCCTAAGGATTCAGTATTTGGAGGATGTTGCCAGAATCCTTAAGGATGCTTTTACTTTGCTTCTCCGGAGTGAATAAGCCTGTGTCTTCCCTTTGCAGAGAAAGGAGAACTCTTTGTGCCTTCTCCCAGCTACTTCGATGTTGTCTACTTGAACCCGGACAGACAGGCTGTGGTTCCTTGTCGGGTGACTGTGCTGTCGGCCAAAGTCACGCTCCACAGGGAATTCCCAGCCAAGGAGATCCCAGCCAATGGAACGGACGTTGTTTATGACATGAAGCGGGGCTTTGTGTATCTGCAACCTCATTCCGAGCACCAGGGCGTGGTTTACTGCAGGGCGGAGGCCGGGGGCAGATCTCAGATCTCCGTCAAATACCAGCTGCTCTACGTGGCAGGTAAGCCTGGCCACCCCTGTCTAGATTCTAGTCACTCCGCTGGTCAGTTTCAGGTACTGCTGTTCCCTGCCTGCAGATGGAATAAGGAAGCACCATGAGTGCCTTTTGTTTCATTGTTGTTGGGTTTTTTTTTCTTTTCCTTTTTTCCTGAAACAGTGTCCCTTTTTGCTGCCCAGGTTGGAATGCCGTGGCACAACCATTTTCTCACTGCAGCGTTAAAGCCCTGGGCTCAAGCGATCCTCCCTCCTTAGCCTCCTGAGTAGCTGGAACCACAGGCATGCGCCACCACGCCCTCTCATACAGAAGAGGTCTTCCTGCCTTGCCTGGACTGGTCTCGAACTCCTGAGCTTAAACAATCCTTCAATCTCAGCTTCCCAGAGTGCCGAGATTCCAGGTGTGAGCCACCATGCTCGGCCCACTTACGCTGTTCTTAAAGGCTTCCCTTCTGCCCCACCGCTTCTAGGATGTTCTTCTTCCTTGCTATGACTCTGACCGAAAACCCCTCTTCCCTCTTCCAGCCAAATCCTTCCATCATTCACTCTGGGTGCTGCCTCTCTGTTTGATGAGCAGGTCTTCTAAGTCCCCAAACTCCTTTAGAGCATCCTCCCAGCCTCTTGGTCTTAACCCGAATCTGCTCTCTCCTAAGGACACCGTTCGTTCCCACCTCAAGGCTGGCATCCTTCTTGTACCCATTCCCACCCCCCAACCCTCATTCTCTGCCCTTCTGTTGGGAACCTCTGCTCTTTGGGGGCTCCACCAGCATTCTCATTTCCCTTCCTGTCACTCCCCTGAGTGCATCGAACATTTTGGCACTTCGTTCATGGTCCTGCTTGTCGCTCCATTTTTAGGGTGACTTTGATATCGACTTGGAACCCACTGGTCAGGTTCACGGACCCCTCATCTGCTCCACCTCGGATATTCCCACCCTCATCACAATGTGAACATGTCAACCACAACCGCTGTGACAGCAATCACCGGGGCTGACCCCAGCTCCAGTGACACAGGCTTGTACTTTCCCAGGATTCTGTGTTTAATGACTCCCTCAACCGCAATCCTCACCTGCACCCCTTGTTCCGCAGTGCTTTCTGCCCTCCCCACCCACGAGGCTTAGATCCTGGCTCCCAGCACATCTCTACTCGCTACCCACGCCCTGCACGCCTTCATCTCTGTACTCCCCTCTCCTGTCCAGGAAAGAACCACCCTGGATGAACACAGGTAACCTTCTCCTCGTACCTGTACCCGGAGTTAAGAGCTGTTGGGACACTCCCATGGGTGGGTAGAGGGCTTGGCCATGAATCCCTCATCTCTTGTCCACCCTGCCTGGCGTCCTCTGCGTTTTGTTCCATCTTTCTTCTGCTTTCCCCAATGTGCCCAGAACACTTGGAGTCCTCAAATTCCCACCTCATTCTCTTCCAACTGGCCTTACTCCCTTTCTCTTGACAGATCTGAAACATGATCAGTCTCCCAGTTAAAATTGGAACTACTTCTTTTAATGTGGCCATTTTAGTGAGGAGTTTCATTTCAGGGCGTTTATACGTGAAATACGTTTTTCCCTGGTAACTGCCAGCCATTCCACTGTGTTGAATCCCCCTTTTCCTGAGGGTAGGGAGATCTGTTAGTCGTGTTGAGTTTCCCTTTGACATCCAGGAGGCTCGCTGGGTGAGTAAGACAGCCTCGTTCTGATTTCTAAGGCCGTTTGTTTAAAATCTTCAGTCCCGACAACTGATCCAAGCCTGCTTTCTGCTCTTCCTTCCACATGCAGGCTCCATGCTGAGTCCAGCAGCTCTGAGTCAGAGGCCACAGTCCTCTCTGCTCCCCTCCCCTCCCCTCCCTGCTGGGACACCAGGTTAGGGGAAGTAAGAGACAGAGGTCAGAGCCCAAGAGCTGGCTGCCCCTGGTAATAAATGCGGACCTGGCTTGCTGTCTGTGAGCCTGATGGGACCAGATAGTGACTCCAGTGCTTTGTCACAGGTGATAGGGACTCGCCTGTCACAAGCCCCTTTGGTGTCCTAGGGCCTGTCCCATGCAGCCTCGCCTCCTCCTGGACCGTCAGTTGGAGGCTGCCTCTGCTTGTATGAACTTCTTTGCTGTTAGGTGCAGCATGACTGAGAGAGCCTGGAGTCTTGATGTCTCTGTGTCCATCTGATCACCTGACTCCGGAACAGGTGGCCACCAGAACATACTGTGGAGACACAGTCTGGGCCCTCTTTCCTTCTGGAAGTCCCCCACCCTGCCATCTTGTCCAGGGCTCTTTTGCCCCGGGCTGATGGCATAGGGGCAGGCTAGGAGCAGTTCTGTTGCAGAACGCCACAGCACCCCCCACCTACCTTGACAAGCAGTTCTCTGAGGCCCCTCCCTCACCTTTCTGGAGTGAAGCACCTCCTTGCCAGCTTTGCAAGGGAGGAGGGGAAGTCGTTTCTCTTTAGGCACTGTAGTCCCTCACAGGTGACTTTAGTCTCTCGGAGAACTCTCACCTTGACCAGGGGCAAGTGGTGTGTGTGGGCAGGTCCGTCCCCTGCAGTGGAGCTTCTCAGGCAGCCCTGTCAGGGGATCAGTAGCCCCAGGAGTGAGCTGCTCTCTGAAGTTAAAAATTTGGCTCTGTCATGCCTCGTGTTCTCAGCCATGGTGCTTATTCAGCAGGCCATGCCCCTCACGCCCTGTTACCAAATCCGTCTCACGGCCCTGCTTCACCTCCCCGCGTGCTGTGCTGAGCCCACCGCTCTTCCCCACTAGAACCAAGTCCCTGAATGAAAGAGCTCTCCATGTCCCATCTCCACTTCCTTTCCTCCCACACACTCCTTTGCCCACTCCCGTCTGGCCTTTTCCCTTGACTTCCACCGAAATGGCTGTTGCCAAGGTACTCTGGGACCCCCATGCCGTTAAAATCTGTCCCCGTCCCACTGGATTCCGCCTCCCCTGCATGGAACGGCCTCTGCCGGGCTCCATTTTTCCCAGCTTCCGCCATCTCCCCTTCAGCTTTCTCACTCTTCTTGGTCAGCTCTTAGCAATCTATCAACTCTGAAATGCTGGTGCTCCCCCAGTCACCCTTCTTTCCCACTCCTTGTTCTCTCCCTGGGCCTGCTTCACATGTGTACACTGGGAACTCCCAAGCGGGTGGAAGTGGCCAGATCTGGAAGCACCAGATCCACGTGTCCGCCGTCCACCTCGAGCGTGCACTGAGATGCTTCGGGACCCTCCATCCTCTGTATGCCATCCCTGGACTCAGCGCCATCCTCCCTGGACTGGTTCTTCCTCCTCCTCTGCTTTGGTGACGGGACTACCTTCATCCAGGGGACAGGCCTGTGGCTGAAAGTCAAGCTCATCTCCCTTCTCCTCCCAATCCTTTGTACTTTTTTCATTAAATCACTTTCAAATCTTACTGTTTCTCTCCATCCTCACTACAAAAAAGGGATCAAGCTAGCATTGTCTCTGCCCTGGTCTTACGTGAATACCTTCTCATCCATCTCCCCTGTGTCCACCTTTTCTTTCTCCATTCTATTTTCCACACTGCAGTTGATTTTTTTTTTAAGGCAAAATCTTGCTCTGTTGCCCAGACTGGAGTGCAGTGGTGTGATCTCGGCTCACTGCAACCTCCACCACCTGAGCTCAAGCGATTCTCCTGTCTCACCCTCAGTATCTGGGATTACAGGCATGCGCCAGCATGCCCAGCTAATTTTGTATTTTTAGTTGAGATGGGGTTTCACCATGTTGGCCAGGCTGGTCTCCAACTCCTGACCTCAGGTGATCTGCCCACCTCGGCCTCCCAAAGTGGTGGGATTACAGGAGTGAACCACTGTGCCTGGCCTCTGATTTTAATTAAACTATTCAGTAGGTTCCCACTTCTCCCAGAACCAAAGTCCAAATCCTCTGTGTGGCGTGAATGGCCTCGCATGGACTCACCTCTGTCCTCCTCCCCATCCAGGTCTCACTCCTCCCTCCCCTCCTCTCCCCAGCCCTCCTCACTCCGCCACCACCTCTCACCCAGGGCCACGCCCATGAGCACTCCCAGCCTGCTGGTGCCTCCCTGCTTCTCCTGTTCATGTCTTTGAAGCTCAGTCTTGAGATTGTAGTTCAAACAGTACTTCCTCAAGGAAGCCCTTCCTGGCTCTCAGACTGTTCTATTCTGGCCTTTTGGAGTACACTGGGCTTCTGCTTCATAGCTTTTAACACAGCATTTTAAACTAACCATATAGGCCGGGCGTGGTGGCTCAAGCCTGTAATCCCAGCACTTTGGGAGGCCGAGACGGGCGGATCACGAGGTCAGGAGATCGAGACCATCCTGGCTAACACGGTGAAACCCCGTCTCTACTAAAAAATACAAAAAAACAAGCCGGGCGAGGTGGCGGGCGATTATAGTCCCAGCTACTCGGGAGGCTGAGGCAGGAGAATGGCGTAAACCCCGGAGGCGGAGCTTGCAGTGAGCTGAGATCTGGCCACTGCACTCCAGCCTGGGCGACGGAGCGAGACTCCGTCTCAAACAAACAAACAAAAACTAACCATATAATGACTCACTCAGTGTCTGGCCCCTCCCTTAGAATACAGGTTCCAGGGGCTCAGAGATCAGGTCCATCTCCCTCCCTGATCCAGACCCACCTGCTAGCACACAACCTTGCTCAAGGCTACCATCAAAATTGCTCGTTGACACACCTGTACTCCCAGCACTATGGGAGGCCAGGGCATGAGGATTGCTTGAGCCTATGAGTTGGAAATCAGCCTGGGCAACATAGACCAAAAAAACTGAAAAATTAGCCAGGTGCAGTGTGGTCTCCAACTCCTGACCTCAGGTGATCTGCCCACCGTAGTCCCTCACAGGTGACTTTAGTCTCTCGGAGAACTCTCACCTTGACCAGGGGCAAGTGGTGTGTGTGGGCAGGTCCGTCCCCTGCAGTGGAG